GCAAATGTGATAGGGGAGATCGGCACTGATTATCAGTGCCGCGCAATGCTGCCCAGCAGTGCCACCCATCAGTGCCCATCAGTGCTGCCCAGCAGTGCCAAGCAGTGCGGCCATCAGTGGCGTCTGTCAGTGCCTCCAGCCGGTGCTATCAGTCAGTGCTGCCCATCAGTGCATATCAGTGCCTCCTCATCAATGCCCACCAGTGTCGCCTCATCAGTGCCCATCAGTGCAGCCTCATCAATGCACATCAGTGAAGGATACAAATTACCCGTTTGCAATATTTTATGATAGAAACAAAGAAAACTATTTTTTTTTTTTCAAATTTTTTGCTCTTTTTTTCATTTACAGTGCAATAAATAAAACCCCAGTGGAGAATAAATACCACCAAAAAGAAAACTATTTGTGTGAAAAAAATGATAAAAATTTCATATGTGTACAGTGTTGCATGATAGCGCAATTATCATTCAAAGTGAAACAGCACTGAAAGCTGAAAATTGGCCTGGGCAGGAAGGGGGTAAAAGTGCCTGGTAGGCAAGTGATTAAAGTGAACAGGTACAAATGGACACTTACACACCTTTTAGGCTCCATTCACTAATGTGTGTTAACATACATTGGCTTTATTTTCATACTGATTAATAGAAATAGACTCCTTAATGTCAAGGAGAAAACAGATCTCTGCATTAGTTCCACAGAGTGTTAGCTACCATCCTTTTTCCAGTCCAGCCACACATGAACTTGGAAAACACTGGATAATCACTGACTTGGCCATTCCAGGATTTTAAAGTGCAACTACAGTTTGCAAGGTCCCCACCTCCTCATATGGAACCAATGGATCTTGCTGATATCTTCTCTCTGGACTTTTATGGGGTGCAGGGTTTTCAGCCCATTGCTTAGCAAGTGGCAATAATGTGACCTCCACACAAGTGGACAGGAGTCATTTGTTCCAGAACACAGGCCAACAATGAATGCTGAGCTGCACATACACAACTCAGTGTATGTTTAACAGAAGACTGTGAGTAGGCAGGTAAGCTTGGTTTTTTTGCACAAGAGACATAGCATGTCTCATTCTGCTATAAAAAGCTGCTAGCTCACACACACACACGCATATCCTTCAAAATCGTCACATATCTGAAAATTAGATTTGTACACCTTGTCCCATCAAGACAATTAAAGCAGAACTCCAGGCAGATATAGACACAAATGAATGCAGCTCTGTATTTATTAATACAACATTGAATGTACTTTTTAATGCAAGCAATGTACACACCTGAATTTGACCTAGTATCAGCCTCTTGCAATTTGCTGTACAGCAGAGCTCATATTGGGAGAAGAAAAAATGCAGCACAAGTCAATCACCTACCTAAGTGCTCATGTAAATGAGGGACATGAAGACCGAAGGAGAAAGGATAAGAGATGAGCTCATCAGTCTTCTCCTTTCATGGTCCAGCCACAGGCTGGGGGGAGGAGCACGACCGGTAAATGTTACGTAATGGCTAAGTTCATCATCTTATTAAAAAAAAATTTATATAGTATATACATATACACACACACATACACTGTTAGGTCTATATATTTTTGGACACAGGCACAATTTTAGTTTTTCTCAGGTATTTACCAAAACATATTCAAGCTATAGTATATAATGGATATGGGCTGAAAGTGCACACTCTCAGGTTTAATTTGAGGGTATGTACATCCAAATTGGAGGAAGGGTTTAGGAATTACAGCTCTTAAGAGAAGCCATCCCCCCCTTTTCAAAGGGACCAAAAGCAATTGGACAATTGACTATAATCATAAAATGTTCATTTTTAATATTTTGTTGAGAATCCTTTACTGGCAATGACTGCCTGAAGTCTAGAACCCATGGACATTACCAAAGACTGGGTTTCCTCCTTTCTGATGCTTTGCCAGGCTCTAACTGCAGCTGTCTTCAGTTGTTCTTTGTGAGTCTTTCTGCCTTTAGTTTTGCCTTCAGCAAGTGAAATGCAGGCTCAGTTGGGTTGAGGTCCGGTGATTGACTTGGTCATTGCAGAATATTCCATTTCTTTTCCTTCAAAAGCTCCTGGGTTGCATTTGCAGTGTGTTTTGGATCATTGTCCCTCTGTACTGTGAAGTGCCATCCAATCAACTTTGCTGCATTTGGCTGAATCTGGGCTGACAGTATAAACACTGCAGAATTCATCCGGCTGTTTCTGTCACATCAATAAACACCAATGACCCAGTGCCACTGGAAGACATGCATGCCCATGCCATCACACTTCCTCCACCATGTTTTACAGATGACATTGTGTGCTATGGATCATGAGCTGTTCCAAGCCTTCTCCACACTTTTTTCTTCCCTTCATTCTGGTACAGATTAATCTTAGTTTCATCCATCCAAAGAATGCTTTTCCAGAACTGGTCTGGCTGTTTTAGATGTTTTTTGGCAAAGTCTAAGCTACCTTTTCTATCCTTCAGGCTTAGGAATGGTTTGCACCTTGTGGTGAACCCTCTGTATTTGGTCTTGTGAAGTCTTCTCTTGATTGTAGACTTTGACAATGATACGCCCACCTACTGGAGAGTGTCCTTCACTTGTCTGGATGTTGTGAATGGATTTTTATTTACCATAGAGAGGATCCTGCGATCATCCACCACTGTTGTCTGTCATGGACGCCCATGCCTTTTTATGTTGCTGAGCTCACCAGTGCGTTCTTCTTTCCTCAAAATGTACCAAACTGTTGATTTGGCCACTCCTAATGTTGCTGCTATCTCTCTGATGGATTTGTTTCATTTTTTGAAGCCTTACAATGGCCTGTTTTAGTTGCATGGACAGATCCTTTGAACGCATGATGTAGGTTCACAGCAATACCACACTTAAAATCAACTCCAGACCCTGTACTTGATTAACTGATGAATAAAATAACGAAGGAGTAGCTCACACCTGGCCCTGAAATAGCTTTTGATTCAATTGTCCAATTACTTTTGGTCCCTTGAAAAAGGGGGGGGGGGTAGGCTACTCTTAAGAGCTGTAATTCCTAAACCCTTCCTCCAATTTGGATGTACAAACCCTCACATTAAACTTAAGAGTGTGCACTTTCAGCCCATATCCATTATATAACTATAGCTTGAATATGTTTTGGTAAATACCTGAAAAATACTAAAATATTCTCATTCTCTCTCTCTCTCTTTGAGGATACTCACCAGCCTAAACATGTTACAAAAGGTGAACGTATCCTTTAACTGCAGCAAAGAACCAGGTTCCCTGCTCTGCCATACAAGGCTGTGCTGAGTTGTGAAAATCTTAGGACTGGATGGACAGAAATACAAACCCTTCGTCAGGTATACCAGCTTACATAATTGTATTTCAACTACTGTAAGTGTTAAGCGGTTTGCCTGGAGTTCAGTTTGAAATATTGGTTGTTTGAAGGAAGCACAATAGTTATTATTATTATTATTATACAGGATTTATATGGCACCAACAGCTTATGCAGTGCTTTACAACATAAAGGCAGACAATACAATTACAATACAATTGAATACAGGAAGAATCAAAAAGCCCTGCTCGTTAGAGCTTACAATCTAAGAGGGATGTTCAAGAGATACAAAAAGGTAATAACTGTGGGTGATGAGCTGATGGAGAAAAATAGAAGTACAGTAGGTGGGAGCAGGGTAGGTCTCTCTGAAGAGAAGGGTTTTCAGGGATCGTCTAAAAGTAGACAGAGTAGAAGATAGACAGATTGGGGTAGGGAGTTCCAGAGGATGGGAGAGTCTCTGGAGAAGTCCTGGAGGTGACAAGGGAACTAGAGAGGAGGAGGTCTTGGGAGGAACGAAGAGAATGATTAGGTTGGAATTTTGAGACTAGATTAGTGATGTAGCTGGGGTCTGAGTTATGGATGGCTTTGTGTGTTGTTCTTAGCATTTTGAATTGAATTTGTTGGGTGAGCAGAAGCCAGTGGAGGAATTGACAGAGAGGGGTAACAGACACTGAGCAGTTGGTCACGTGAATGAGTCTGACAGCAGCATTCATGATGGCCTATGTAATGAGTAAGAAGTTGCAGTAGTCGAGTCGAGAGATGACCAGGGAATGAACTAGGAGCTTTGTGGTGTCATTGGTTAGGAAAGGGCAAATTTTGAAGAAGGGGTGTATAGTTTGCTGTTTATCAGCAATGTAATGGGTATACACATTGGGGGGTCCTGTCTAGTGTCAGTACTTTTAGTTAAAAAATACAGATGAAATTAATACTACACAAGTATGAAAGGAAGCCATTGTGCATTCAGAAAAGTAAGCTAACCCTTACACAGTGCAATTTAAACTGACAACAAATCCTCTCTCATCCTGTGAAGTAGAACTCAAAACAGGACATGAAAGGAAATCTTCTGAATGTGGACATATAGAGCAGTAAAATCTGACAGACGTTCACACTCTTGCCACTATATCCAAAAAAAAAAAAAATTAAGTTTTGGGGGGCATTTCACCTTAATAAGAGGAATTTATTCCCAGGTGCTGTGAAGATGTCAGCAACAATCACTGGTGAGTTTCACCTCCGATAGACCTGATTTGGCTCCAGGCAGAATACGAGTTCTCACAATACTAGCTAAACGATGAAAGGGGTGAAAGGGTATATGAAAGAGGGATGCAGAACCTTAGAGTCCTGGATTGGTGCCAGCATCAGTTCTGTTATTGCAGAAAAGATACCTTATACACCACGCTGCTACATACACGCAACACTACAGTTAAAACATTTGTTATTTCATGATATAGCAATATAAAAGCTAAAAATACTTCAATATTAAATACAAACAAAACAAAGGCATGATTATTATAAAACCGATCAACATTTTAAAATATTAATAAAGTACATACAATAAAATAAACTATATAAAATTGCTTGTTGAAATGAAGAGAATGTTGAAATTAAAGAGGGGATGTTGGTCAGTGTAAACAATAAGACATAATTGGAATTGCAATGAAGAGGAAGTATATTTCTATGTCATGATTTTAAAGTTGAAAGCATCAGTCTTTATTTAAACCTCTTTGTTGGAGTCCTGTGCTGTTTTCTCCATTTACATATATTAGAATAGTCACACATTCTGCACTTCCAGACATCTTCTATATCAACTCCTTGGATCTCTCTCTGTCCTTTCCAGAAGGATAAATAAAATGTCACTTGTTCCATAACATTCTCCTCTTTAAAGTTCACCATGTCACATCCTAAAAAGGTTCCATCCCCTTGATAGCAATATTCCAGCTTCAAGCTGTCAATCTTGGGTAACTCTGAGAATGTCAGGTTCAGGCAGGTCAGCTCTATGATATCTTTCAATGTAGACACAGTCAGCCCACACTGAATTGCATTTTCCTTTACCTGAGGTCCCAGTTCTTGTTCTGGCCTCAGGTTCAAGATCTGGATTAAATATTCTGATTGTAGAACACCACTCACCATGCCATCAAACAGCAGTTTGTATGTACAAACCTGAAAAACATATAATTATGTCTGGTTAAGTGTTTCAATGGATTGAAGTATATAGACTGGGCTGGTGAAAGAGTGCACAGAAGATAGGAACAGGCAACTTGTGGTCCATAAGTACAAATCATGGAGTTACCTGTCTCTCTAAAGCTGAACTCTCCCCCTTCCCCTGACCCATTTTCTTTTCGGTCCTTGGGACAGAACATGGGGATAGTCTTCTCTGAAAACACTCAGCCAACAGAAACCTGACAGTCTTAAACCCTTCCCTAACACTAAAATTGTTTATGTTTCAGCTTGTGCCCCCACTAGAGAGATTGCTACTTACAACCATTGCTAGAAACTGAAGTGTGAAAAGTCCTCACCAAAAGACATACAGCAATAACAACCCTATAAAGCTTCTAAGCCTTCACCACTCTCTTTAAAATGTAGAAAATGTTTTCTGAGTGGAATTCTATTTAAAACCAGATATTCTCAAATACAAACAGGTCTATGAGTTCTATAGGATGGACAGAGCACTTCAGATCAGAGGCGTAACTGGAAATTTAGGTCCCCTAGTGCAAGAAACCATGAAGGATGCCCTGACCCCTAGCCGGGGCCCTTCATTACTGTCTCACAGCGGGACCCTTTCACATGTTCTGCAGCGGGTCCCCCTTCCTGCCATATTGGGGACACACACACACGTAGTGACCCTAGCAAGCAGTTCCGCCACTGGTGTCAGTAGTTTTTCATTTTTGTTATTTTATTTTTGTATTATTTACCATTTTACTAATTTTTGGGTTTTTTTTTACAATTTAATTTACTATTTTTCACAGTTTTTTTTAGAAGTCCCAATGGGGGGCTTTGGTGAGATATCAGGGGTCTAAACAAACCTCTGATATTTGAGACAGTGAAATAAGATTGAGAAAGCAGCCTCAGCAGCACAGAATGAACGGACAGGAATAGCTCTGCACGGAGCTTCCTGTTCATTGATATATGGAAGCATAGTAAACACAGCATTGCGGGGGTGGGTGCACCCCTGCTTCAGACTTTCCGATGCTCTCATTTTCACTTGGAGAGGTTTCTAGCTGGGCAGTTATCTCTGTGGTAGGAATAAACCTATTTTCCTGCTGAAAAAAATTAAAAGAGGTTCTTTTACATCCCGGGTTCTGCTTTTTCTCTCCTGCCGAGTTTAGTTTCAGGACTCATGTAGGGACCAGCTGTACTGTTTGACAGACAAATGAACACTGCAAAAAAAAAAAAAAAAGGCCTATATTAAGTGAAGGGGAGGGTGGCTTCAGAGTGGGTGGGGGGAACAAAATGAGGTTGTGCTTTAAAATAACTTTGACATCATCAAGTGAGAAGGCTACCTCAACAAATCAATAGGTGTGAATAAACTGGAGTGCGCTCTTTGGGGTAGACTAAGGTATACAAAGGGTTTGCCAGTTTGTTTATACGAAGTCATCTTGACAGGAGAAGCTACTGAATGCAGCTTTGACATACACCTCATATTTCTAGCGAAACAATTAATTTTAGAATTGACCACATTACAATTATGATTTAGTGATAAATGAAAGTAAGAAATGTGTTTCCAATAATGGATAAATAGATTAAACACGCACAAAACATACGTGAACCCACCTGGAGCTCATGAGTTCTCCTCTGAGCCAGTCGAGGCAAGGTTGGGGTTGCTCGTGTTTTCAGTTCTCGCAGTTCCAGCTCACCAATAGAGGAGTAACCTAATTCATCAATTACTCCCACCATGAAAATACCATCCAATTCTCCTAAAACTGGAAATTCACGAATGCAACCACCTGGAAGAGAAGGTAACTAATCAGGCTGAACAAACTTTAAAATAAAACCTGCCATTAAACAAATATAAAGATAGGTGTTGCTCTCCTCTCTTTTGCAGAATGCTATTTCCTTGGCATCTGTACAGATACTTTGGCAAACGCAGTCAGATAACTAATATTTTTAGAAGTAGACTAACAATAGCAGCAATCATATTTCAATTCAATTGTTACTAATGTCAAACATTTTATTAAAATAACAAACATGTTATACTCACCTGCTCTGTGCAATGGCACTGCACAGAGTGGCCCCGATCCTTCCCTTCTCGGGACCCCCAGCGGCGATCCTGGTTCCCACTCAAATCTAGGTCTGCATCTTTGGAGGCATCCAGTCTTTAGTGCCCTGCAATAGTCCTGAAGTTTGACCACATGATTGAATGACATATTTGATCCAGTGGCCCCACCGCTGTCTCTGCCCAAATAGTTGACATAACCCTGATTGACTGTGCTCGAAGACCAGGTAGAAAAGGTGTCCCTGGTAAAAAGTAAGCAAAGGAAATAGAAGTCTTTGACCATGTTTTTACTGTCAACCTGGAGGCTTTCCTGCACGTATTCTTTCCTTGGTGTAATACCATTAACTTTTTGTCAAATGCCACACTTTGCTGTGCCTTAGTTAAATGAGGAGGTTTCTTCATATGTCAATCATGTGAAGTTGTTTTTCCTTGTCACTCACTTAACTGGCAGAAAATGAAGGTAGAACAATTTCTTGGTTTTAATGAAACCAAGAATTTATCTGTAGGATGAAGGCAAGATTGATCCTTAATATGATCTGGTCATCAAAAATGGTAAAGTGCAGTTTTTAAATTGTGAAGGCCTGGATGTTCACTACCCTTTGTTCTGTCTTCATGGGAAGATTGAAACATATTTACAATGTTAGAAACTTACATGAAATATATTTTTTTGACATAGTTTCTAGATGTTCCCTGGGTAAATCCCTTAGTATATACAATTAAGCTTGGTTTAGAACTTATATATAAATGTATAAATTTTTTCTAGTTTTGAGGCCTTGGTCAGGGGTAGGGAAACTTAAATAAGTAGAGAACAACCTGGCCAACATGAGAAAAGTAAAAGATCAGACACAGTGTTGCCTTCTCACACCTAATTTAAACCTTTAATTGCTGTACTACCGTACCGCAATCCTGTCCATTTCAAGTGTGCTATTTGCATTTGGAATCTGTTGCTGTCAACTCTCAAGATGAGATCCAAAGAGCTGTCACTATCAGTGAAGCAAGCCATCATTAGGCTGAAAAAAACAAAACAAACCCATCAGAGAGATAGCAAAAAACATTAGGCGTGGCCAAAACAACTGTTTGGAACATTCTTAAAAAGAAGGAACACACCGGTGAGCTCAGCAACACCAAAAGACGCGGAAGACCACGGAAAACAACTGTGGCAGATGACCGAAGAATTCTTCCCCTGGTGAAGAAAACACCTTTCACAACAGTTGGCCAGATCAAGAACACTCTCCAGGAGGTAGGTGTATGTGTGTCAAAGTCAACAATCAAGAGAAGACTTCACCAGAGTGAATACAGAGGGTTCACCACAAGATGTAAACCATTGGTGAGCCTCAAAAACAGGAAGGCCAGATTAGAGTTTGCCAAACGACATCTAAAAAAGCCTTCACAGTTCTGGAACAACAGCCTATGGACAGATGAGACCAAGATCAACTTGTACCAGAGTGATGGGAAGAGAAGAGTATGGAGAAGGAAAGGAACTGCTCATGATCCTAAGCATACCACCTCATCAGTGAAGCATGGTGGGTGGTAGTGTCATGGCGTGGGCATGTATGGCTGCCAATGGAACTGGTTCTCTTGTATTTATTGATGATGTGACTGCTGACAAAAGCAGCAGGATGAATTCTGAAGTGTTTCGGGCAATATTATCTGCTCATATTCAGCCAAATGCTTCAGAACTCATTGGACGCCGCTTCACAGTGCAGATGGACAATGACCCAAAGCATACTGCGAAAGTAACCAAAGAGTTTTTTAAGGGAAAGAAGTGGAATGTTATACAATGGCCAAGTCAATCACCTGACCTGAATCCGATTGAGCATGCATTTCACTTGCTGAAGACAAAACTGAAGGGAAAATGCCCCAAGAACAAGCAGGAACTGAAGACAGTTGAAGTAGAGGCCTGGCAGAGCATCACCAGGGATGAAACCCAGCATCTGGTGATGTCTATGCGTTCCAGACTTCAGGCTGTAATTGACTGCAAAGAATTTGCAACCAAGTATTAAAAAGTGAAAGTTTGATTTATGATTATTATTCTCTCCCATTACTTTTGGTCCCTTAACGAGTAGGAGGCACATATGCAAACTGTTGAAATTCCTACACCATTCACCTGATTTGGATGTAAATACCCTCAAATTAAAGCTGACAGTCTGCAGTTAAAGCACATCTTATTTGTTTCATTTCAAATCCATTGTGGTGGTGTATAGAGCCACAAATTTAGAATTGTGTCGATGTCCCAATATTTATGGACCTGACTGTATATACATATATATATATATATGATTCTGTGCAGCTGGCCTGCATTATAGTAGTAAAGCTACAGTGCATGCTCTGGAATTGGTTAATGATTAAAACTGAACTCCGGACAGCATGTAGCTATGCATAGTGGTTGTAAACCTCAGAAATGAAATATAAACAAAGCATATCCCTCTATAGTGGAACATTTGGTGATCTCTTGATACCAAACCAAGGTCAAGTAGACCAAGAAAGATTGCAGCCACAACTTCCTGAAGAACTGCACAGGATACAAAGAAAAATGCTCAGGTAACGTCAGGAGTAATACAGACTGCTCTGGAAAAAAAGACAGTGTGGTTGTTTTAAGGAGGACAATATAATGATACTTGAACAAAAATTAGCTGCATGGTCGAGATGCCAGAAAGAAGCTTTCACTTTGCCAATGCCACAAAAAAGCCCGGTTACAATATGTTTGACACCTTGACAGTTTCACAGCTTCTGGCACACTGTAATCTGGAGTGACGAGACCAAAATAGAGCTTTATGGTCACAACCATAAATGCTATGTTTGGAGAGGCGACAAGAAAACTATCCCCACTCTGAAGCATGGTGGTGGCTCACTGCTGTTTTGGGGTGGGTTCGAACTCTAAAGGTTTAGGAATACCTCAGGACTTCATCCAAGAGAGACAGAAGGTCTTCTACAAAGTGTCAGAGAGGCTTCAGAGGGCAGCCGGAGTATGAATGTCTGCAAGAGACAGTTAATGGCCTGAGGACTAGGTCAGAGGAGCTGTGTGTGTCTGAGAAGTTCTAAGCTGTGTGCCTGAAAGAGCGGGTGGTCAGAAGAACCAGTAACTATAGCAGCAGTGCTGCTGAAGAGTAGCCAGGTGGGCTAGTATTTTCATTTGGACTGTGTGTATTTTACTGGAGAAGAACCTCTGCATAGGAAACTTTATGTAGGACTGTTTTGCCTTTCCTTTTAATAAAAGAGGACCACCAAGCCCTGAAAACAGTTCCTGACTGGCGTGAACTCACTTGAAAACACATCTACTACGGAGATAAACATCCCCAAATGTTAAAGTATATATTACACACACAATGTATAATCCATACTAAAAGAAACACAAACAATATGCCATTCACTCGTGAAATAACACATCAACCATATGAAAAACCTGTATCACAAAAATAGTGCATAATAAATGCCACATTAAAAGTTCTTTGTGCTGTGTGTGTGTGTGTGAAATAAATCCAAAACAAAAGTGATGCAATCTTTCTTAAAAACCACAGCCTGTGAATTTCACTGTACATGTGTGAATTTTGGGCACTCCCTGGGTGCCCCCAGTTGTTATCTGCACTCAGCAGATATGGGTGAAACCTCGAGCTAACAAGTGAGTCAAAATGTGCTTACATTGTAAATTTTCCTGGGAAAAGTAGTTCTGGTGTATAGCGCATCTGTCCCTCCTTGAATATCCAGGATAAGGATTGCTCACATCAACATGAAACAGCAGATACCCAAGAAACATATAGCAAGCAGATACCCAAGACTTCATTTTCCTCACAAATATTGGCACCCCGGCATTGCTGTCAGATAACGCACCACTTCACTCAGACAATTGTTACAATTACAAATGTTTTGACATTCTCATGTTATTTCTTTTGTGCACTGGAGTTTAATATTTATTATTCATTTAAGGGGTTTACGCGATGATGGCTCTCTTTCCTCTTTTCCTTGCATATTCATGTTAATGTGACTTTAGTTTGCACTATTTTTACAGGTTTACAGTAATGGTATACTGTTAATGTGTGATTTTCACAAGTGAAGGACATGTTGTTTGTGCTTTTTTAGTATGGGTCATACACACTGTATTTATTTATATTGACTGCACAAATCGACACCTTTTATATACAGTGGGCAAAATAATTGAACACGTCACAAGTTTCCAGGTAAATATATTTCTAGGTGCTATGGACATGACATTTTCACATCTCGATAACAACCTATGCAATCCATACATACAAAGAAACCAAAACAAGTAAGTTCAGAAATTAAGTTATTTGTAATAAAATGGAATGACACAGGGAAAAAGTATGGAACTCGCTAACTGAAATTTATTTAAAATACTTCGTACAAAATCCTTTGTTGGTGATGACAGATTCAAGATGCCTCCTGTATGGAGAAACTAGTTGCATGCACTGTTCAGGTGTGATTTTGGACCATTCTTCCACACAAACACTTCAAATATTGAAGGTTCCGTGGGCCTCTTCCATGAACTCTGATCTTTAGTTCTTTCCATAGATTTTCTATTGGATTCATGTCAGGTGATTGGCTGGGCCATTCTTCGAACCTAATTGAGAGTTTCCTTGGCTTTGTGTTTGGGATCATGGTCTTCCTAAAATATCCACCCTCATTTCGTCTTCTTCATCCTGGTAGATGGCAGCAGATTTTTATCAAGAATGTCTTGGTACATTTCAGCCTTCCTTCAATGATATGAATTTTGCCAGTACCATATGCTGAACAACAGCCCCACACCATGATCTTCCCACCTCCAAACTTCACTGCTGGCATGGGTGTTTTTGGGGTGATGTGCAGCGCCATTTGACCTCCAAACATGGTGTGTATTATGACATCCAAAGAGTTCAATTCTGGTCTTATCTGACCAGACTATATTCTCCCAGTATTTCACAGGCTTGTCTAAATCTTGTGCAACAAATTTCAAAAGAACTTCAACATGCTTTTTCTTCAGCAATGGAGTTTTGCATGGTGAGCGTGCATACAGGCCATGGCGGTTAAGTGCATTACCTTTTGTTTTCTTTGAAACAATTGTACCTTATAATTCCAGGTCTTTATGAAGCTCTCTACAAGTGGTCCTTAGCTCTTGGACAACTCTTCTAATAATTCTTTTCACTCCTCTGTCAGAAATCTTGTGAGGTGCACCTGGTTGTGGCTGGTTTATGGTGAAATGATATTCTTTCCCCTTTCGGATTATGGCCTAACAGTGCTCATTGGAACAATCAGAAGTTTAGAAGTCCTTCTGTAACCAATGCTATCAGTATGTTTTGCAACAATAAGTTTGCAAAGGCCTTGAGACAGCCCTACGCTTTTACCGATCATGAGGTGTTTCTTGTGTGACACATTTTTAGGCCATCAGTTGAGACTGAACCAGCTGATATTATTTTGCACTGACAGGGGGCAGGATTGCTTTCTAATTACTGATAGATCTCAGCTGGTGTCTTGGCTTTCCTTGCCCTTTCGCACCTCCCTTTCTTCATGTGTTCAATACTTTTTCCCTGTGTCATTCCATTTTATTACACATAACTTAATTTCTTTGCATGTATGGATTGCATGGACTATTATCGACATGTGGTGAAAATTTCATGTCAATAGCACCTTTAGAAATACATTTGCCTAAAAAATGGTGACATGATCAATACTTATTTTACCCACTGTACTTTAACCGCCTCCCGCCCGCCATATAAGGAAATGACAGATGGGCCAGTGGTTCTCTCATTCTGGGAGGATGTCATATGACGTCCTCCCACTCTAACCGCGGCGATCGGTGGTGCGCTGTGTCCCTGGGACACATCAGATCACCAATCAGTGGAAAGAGCCAATGACTTCTGCTCTGTCATGTGATCAGCTGTGTCCAATCACAGCTGATCGCATGTAAATAAGGAAATCCCAGTTACCGGCATTCCTCTCCTCACGAGCTGTCACGCTGACAGCTCATGAGGAGAGGAGAGCCGATAATTGGCATTTCTCGGAGGGGACATCTATACTGATGATTAATGCCCTGATGATCAGTGTGGCCCCATCAGTGCCACCTGTCAGTATCCATCAATGCCACCTGTCAGTGCCCATCAATGCCACATATCAGTGCCTACCAGTGCACATCAATGCCACATATCAGTGCCCATCTGAGCTGCTTTTCAGTACCACCTATCAGTGCCAGTCAGTGCCACCTAATAGTTCCAGTCAGTGCCGCCTATCAGTGCCATATATGAGTACTGCCTTTCAGTGCCCATCAATGTCTGTCAATGCCCACCAGTGATGTCTGTCAATGCCCATCAGTGCCACCTACCAGTGCATCCTCATCAGTGCTGCCTATCAGTGCCCATCACCGCAGCCTCATTAGCGCACATCAGTGAAGGAGAAAAATTACTCATTTACAAAATTTTATAACAGAAACTAAAAAAAAAACTTTTTTTTTTTAAATTTCAGTTATTTTCGGTTTATTTAGCAAAAAATAAAAAAAACAGAAATGATTAAATACCACCAAAATAAAGCTCTACTGTCTCAAAAAAATTATAAAAATTTCATATGGGTACAGTGTTGCTTGACCGCGTAATTGTCATTCAAAGTGCGACAGCGCTGAAAGCTGAAAATTGGCCTGGGCAGGAAGGGGGTGAAAGTGCCCTGTAGACAAGTGGTTAAAAGCCCTGTAATTATTTTGTATTTTAGAGTACATTTTAACCTCAACAATTAACTGCTGTACTTTCTCTTCTTTATTCATGGAAGAATCTATAATATTTAATAAATCATCCATCTTGTCTGCCAAAAACATTTTTTTAAATGTGTTCACTGCAGTCTTATATTTTACATAATCGTCCTCCAGAAACTTTCCCACCAGTATTTCTGACATTTTCTAAGGAACACAGTTCCTCTTCAATCCCTTCATCTTGTGAAAAATTTTAAGGGGTTAAATGAGGCTTCTGTTGAGGCTGCATTATCTAATAAGATTTTTGAATGGATGGGGTTTCTTTGCTTAAAAACTTGAGTGCAGTTACCTCATAACTTCTTCTGTAAGAATCTACTATCTCAATGCTAAATACAGCACACTGGGGGCATTTACTAAAGCTGCATGGTGCAAAAATCTGGTGCAGCGCTGCACAGAACCCAACCAGCTGCTAGGATTTATTGTCAAAGCTTAACTGAACAAGCTGCCATTAGAAGCTAATTGGCTACCATGCACGGATTCATCATCAGATTCTGAATGCTCCAGTTTTAGTAAAACTCCCCCACTGGACTTTTCAGCTGCTTTACAGGCAGATGTAGTTTTCATTCCTTCATGGACTTTGCTTTCTAAAAAGTAACCAACAGAAAATTATAAACAAAGTTTAAAGTGTTAAAATAATATATTTTAAAAGGATGCAGGATTCCTTACAGGCCCAGAGGCATTCCCTGAACCACCTGTATCCATAACTTAGCCAGTGGATTCCAGTACATGGGTGCTTACATAGGGGTACACCTTCCCTGCCAAAAGAAGGCTTCACAATGACGTTTCCTCCACTTATAAATCATACGGAATCTATATGTGGGCCACAGTAATATGTAACCTCCAGAACCTAATGGCATTGATGTGGACCCCTATGCACAGGCACACAATATCATACGCTTGTGTTGTGCTCCGTATAAGAGCCATACGTATGCACTGCAGCTCGCAGTTTGGCCTGTGACATCAGAGAGGGCACCCAAGGATCTCAAATGGACGGCACCTGCCCATTTTATATACATTTAATGATGTAATTACAGTATTCTGCAACCATTATTCCTGGCAACCAAATTCACAAACAGGTGGAAAGTAGATATGGGGACACCCAGCAGGGTGATACCTGTGTGTTAAAAAAAGAAGGGGGGGGGGGGGGGGGAAGAAAAGAGATTCACAAAAAAGTGGTTACATTATGGACAGAAAGCGATACTCAAGAGTTCCTCAAAAATTATGCTTTATTACAAAGATTGCAAGACGTGCAGCCTGATGGACGCCTAACATAGGCGTGTATATCCGCGTCCCCTGCAGGACTACGTGTATGGCGCCAATGCATCTGACCGGAAGTGACGTTACTGACGTGTCACGTATGTTTAGGTTTAGTATTGGGTTCCTGAATTCATCCATTATTGGTACTAATGTGTTTTCTATATGCAGTATTGCATTTCTGATGTTTTGCCTTATGGTACAATTTTTTGAACAGATCCCCTACACGGTGGTGTAACCTGTGTGTCAGTGCTGTTTATGTATTAGACCTAGTGTCATTACATTTACAGCACTCAATATTTATGACCGGTCAGGACACCTGTGTTTAACCTTTTTGGTTTTAGGTCATACTTTGTTGTATTGTCTCATATTGTGGTGATGGCTAACTGAGGTATTTACCTAAATGTCTACATATGCAATCTTTGTAATAAAGCATAATTTTTTAGGAACTTTTGAGTATCGCTTTCTGTCCATAATGTAACCGCTTTTTTTGAATCTCTTTTCACACCCCCCTTTTTTTTTGAGGTTTGTTTCTTGGTTACCTGGCAGATAATATACATTCAGTGAGACGTTGAAATATGGTGCCTCTTGCCCCTTCCTTTTTATTAGTGTTGACACCTGTGTGTTCCCCCGAGGAGCTTGCATCTGCGGTGCTCATAACTGGGGGACTGAGGGCAAAGGTTCTGCTGAATACCTACTAATCAGCACCAAAGCTCACTGTCTGGCTGGCTCCCACTCTGGTCACCCCCCCATCTCTGGGGTTACCATTTAATAGGAAAAAGGAGCAGTTCAAGTATACAGAAAGAGAAATTTGGGTCACAAGTCAACTGACTTCATGTTGTCTTCTCCTGATCTGATAGGATCAGAAAACCACTAGGGATTAGGAGGGGGAGTTGAAATGTATAATTTGTCTATTCCTGTCCCTCTTAGGTAGGCAGATCCCCTCCCTTGTGTTTTGTGGTCATGGATTGAACAGGGACAAAAGTAATCAGGTCATTGATAGAAAAGAATACAATTCTAATCTAAATTGTAAAGTAAACTGTGAGCATTTACATAGAGTCTGCATAGCATGATCATCCAACATTTACAAAGTAACCCGTATAATTTAATTAACTTACCAGACTGTAAAACTGGAATCATTGCTAAAATGTTGAGACATTTTATTGCCCAGATGTCTTCACGAGTCTTTGTGGTCACCGATACAACATCATGCAACTCCAACTCTGGTAAATATAACGTGGATGGTATTTTTCACAAATCTACTCATTGTATCAATGGATGTATGAATAATTATGCTTTACTAGTTTTCTCTATAAAAAGTTGCAACAATTCTTTGCAGTGCTTGGGTTACATTTCAAATTCCAGCTAGGACAAGAACTGCATGGAGTTAGCATGTTCTCCTAGAGCTTGAATGAGCTTTCTCTGGATACTCTGATTTCCTTTCACCCTGCAGGTTAATTGGCCCCTGTCTGAATTAGCCCTAGTAACAGTAATGCTATCAAAGTGCTTCCAGCTAGCATTCAATTTAAATATCCTGCAAAATGTTTTCTAGTTTTAGAAACAGTGTGAAAATATTAGAACTGCTGACAGGTTTTCAGTGAGATCTTTGTCATCACTTGGGTGAATTTCACCTCATTTCCTGTCTTAGGGCCACAACCAGGAATTATTCCTTTAATACAAAAATATGGATGTAGGAACATGTTATTAGGAATGTATAATTTTGTTGCCTGTAAGCAATTTAATGGATATATAGTTTTCACGTTTTAAATAAACATAAGTAATTAGCTTTATATACCTATGCCTATCTACATAAGTTATACAAATCTTGTTTTTATGTATAATTTGTAATCAAATATATATTTATACTGTAGTATATGGAAGTAATGATTTTGGTCATCACATATTTAGCCACCGCTTTCTGCTCTGCAGCTCTATAGGACTCAGAAGGGAACATCTCTGAAAGCTTCTAAAAAAAGTGCATCACACAGACATTACCTAAAGTGATTATAAAGACTCAAACTTTTTAAAATGAAAATAACAAACAAATCATACTTACCTGGTCTGTGCAACAGTTTTGCACAGAGCATCCCCGATCCTCTTTTTCTCTGGTCCCCTGCCGGTTCTCCTGGCTCCTCCTCTTCATCCAGTGACTTCATAGGATGCTGCTCCCTATGGGGGAATTCATGCAGGCTCACTCTCAAGCTCCACTGCCTGCGTCCATAGACACAGACGGTGGAGCACAGCCCCCCCCACTCACTCATCACAGAGTTTGAGTGACAGCAGCATGAGCCAATAGCTGCACTGTGAGAAGTGACAGAGCCACTCTCTCATGCACAGCGCTGGATTGAAATGGGGCTCAGGTAAGTATAAGGGGGAGCAATGGGGAAGATCTGAGTCACAGAAAGTTTTTTTACCTTAATGCATTGAATGCATCAAGGTAAAAAAAAAAAAAAAAAACTTAAGGCTTTAGAAGCACTTTAATTATATATTTAGTTATGAGTGGAGATACACTTAAACTTATGTTTCAAAAAGAAAACAAAAGATTTAAATGAACTACATGAAAGACCTCACCTCTAGCCAAATGTATACTGGATCCTTCATTCATTGCGGCAGTCTTTCTTGGTCGGTGGCTAGTGGCTGCTCAATTTTGTACACCATCTGTTGTTCACACCACATCTGGGAGCAAATATCTGTCACAGCCAAGTGACTCATATGATATTTCTGCAGTGGAGTCAGTGATTCCTGTTTCCTCTTCCTTGGCGTTATCTGTGATGAACCAGGTATTTCATTGCAGCTTAATCCTGGACTACTGTGGAGCTGACCTTTAGTTGGTGTATTCACATCTACATTACTATAAAAAGAAAAGGTAAATGGTGGAAAGTTTTAGCTGCAATAAAAATATATATCATTTAAAGCTGAACTGCAAGGAAAGTAAAAATCCTCCCGTGCAGTGGAGCTGCCCCTACAGTGCAAGGATTATATGCTCACTTAGGTCTAGGGGCCTGGAAAAAGTACTATTACTTACTTGATCCTCTGCTCCCATAAAACTCCCTCCATGCTGCTAACCCAGTTCCTTCAGCTTCTTCTCTACTATGCTCTAGTGGTTGCAGGTCTTCTGACATAACAGTCCATAGTAAATCACTTCAACAATTTGCTGCCCACAATATTTGCATTAGCGATGATTGCCAAAAAAACATGCAAAATAAATCAATACGAACAGAAAGCTGGAAGCTGCCTCTGCCTTCCACCTGCAATGCTAGTTGCCTGTCTCTTGGCACAATACTTACCTTGAATTGTGGCTTCCCCATCCTGAAAGTGTAAATGCTCATTTTAGTCTAGAGTATGAATAAAAACAATTTCAAATTACTTTATTACGTGCTCCCATATTCAGCTTTTCTCCATAGAAATGGTCCCTTAAGCTGCTCTATTTCTGTTTCGTCCATTAGTCTCACTCTGATGTCGTCACATATAAGTGAGGACACTGAGGGTCTGCTCACAACCTGGCATGCAGATCAGGAATGTCAGAATTCCTAATTGAAAACTTACACTGATGGCAAAGGATTAGTATGAGAGCCAGGAAACTATTACTTTCAGAGGTGGAGGTCAGCAATGGCAGCCTTCGTTGGTACATGTTCCTGACTCTCACCATAAAGAGAGAAAAAATGTTTACACATAACGGCAGGAGCCATCTCAGGCTGTTATGGCAGGCAAAGCTCTGACATTTGTGTGGATCTGGGGCCTGCCTGACCCTTCCTGCATTATCCTACAGGGTAGCCCAGCATGGTCAGCTGAGCATCTGCTTCTTTGTGGACCAGTGGTCACTATAAACAGGGCAACTTTTCTAAATAACATGAGTGATATATGAATGAAGAGATTTGGAAATACTGGACAAAAACAAAGACTGTAACTAGCTGGGCAGTCTCTTCAGTTTGGCATTCATTTCATCATTACCTAGATATCCCTCTTTGAAATCAAAATAGTGTGAGTACGTGTAGAGGTCAATTCACTAAGATAAATACCACATAATTTTTTGCCTCAAAATAACTCATGCTGGGTATATCTCAAAAGTAGTCAATTCACTAAAGTAACATGCATTGTTTAACAAATGTATTAAATATTTATGTTTTGCAATATTCAGCACAGCCTTTTTCAGCCAGGATGCCTTGAAGTGTCTTCAGTGGTGCCTTGGCAAAATGTCTAAAAAATTGCCCAAAAATTGTATACAAGCCAGCAGGTGGATCAAGCTTGCCTTTTATTTACACAAAGCCACAAGTTTTCATTGTGCACCAGTACAACCTCCTAGCCACCAGCATCCTAACCATATGACGTCATCAGTTGATATGGAGGATGTCGGTCACCTGCAAGGCATCCTTGTTTGACCCTCCCCTGCCCCTCTCTGTCAGTAAGGGCGCCAAATAGCTGAGTGATAGAGAGAAACTGAGGGAGAAGAGAAACATTGGAATACTATTCAGTATCAGTGTGCAAAGGTGTATTTGCATTGGAAGAATAAATCCCCTCTAACATTGGGTGTCTTACATGTGTGGGTGTTGCTGAATTAGGTAAAACTATTAGAATAGTTTTCTTTACATTTTAGAATGGCGTGCCTTGAGACTTTCCATAATTTTAAAGGGTGCATTGACTGAAAAAAAAGTTGAGAAACCCTGATTTCACACAGAAATCTAATGTAATTGTGATGTTGTTTTATCACAATTGTTTTCACAGGCTAACACTGCACCAAAGGTAGATTGTTCTATAAATGAAGGAACACAGAAATACTATAAAATTATGAAAACATCCTTATGCTTTGTTCACCCTTGGGTGTTTCAGGTGTGCTAAAAAAGGTCCGGAATGCTGCATCTTTGATGCACTTTCATGAAAACATTCATTCTATCAAGTTCAATGGCAGCAAGCCTAAACCATAACGCACCCAAAACACACTGCACTGATGTGAAGTGGCCATTAGGCTAGGTTCACACTGCTGCAATACGATTTTGATCCAACTTTCAGTGTGATTATGTAGTGCTACTTGGATGCAACTTTGATAAGGCTTGCATAATGGAGCCAAAATCACACAGGACTTGCCACAAAAACAGATTAGGAACAGTATAGGAACATATAATTGCTCCGTGCTGTGTCACATTGATGTAAATGGACTTCATTGAAAACAAAGTAGTTTCCCTTATCATGCGATTTTGTGCAACTCCAGTTGCATTTGAAACCGCACTAGTGTGAATCAGGCCTAAGGCTGCATTCACACCTGAGCGTTGCATTTTTCACTATTTTTGCACGTTTTTGTATAATGTTTTGTTTTTTTGTTTACAAATGTTTTTATTTATCAAGAAATAGGCTGCAAAAACAGCTTCACGGTATAAAGTATAACATACAACAGAAAAAGAAGGCACATCTGTAATATTCATTTCAAATAAGTACAGTGGTGTAGAACATGAAAGTTAAGTACATGAGCAAGGTAGGCATGTATAATGTTTTTTAAAGCATATTAGAGCATTGGCATTTTAAGGTGCCGGCTCCAGGCAGCTTTCCATTCATTAAGTTATTTGTTGTTAAGACCTGGCTTCCTAACAAAGATGAATTATCTTTGCTGTTAGCAGGGAATTCCCTGCTAACAGCAGAATGTAAACAAAACATCTGGCATTGAAATAAAATCAAACAATACAGCCCTTTGGGTCTGATATGATTTTAAGGGGGACCCACACCAAAAAAAAACAAACAAGAAAAAAGCATGGGGTCCCCCCAAGGTCTACACCAGGCCTTTAGGTCTGATATGGATTTTAAAGGGAACCCAAAAAAATGCATGCAGCCTGGCAGGCCAGGAAGGGGAATACTAGCAAGTGCTCACCCCCCCCCCCCCCCCACACCATCCCTTCTGAACCATGCCAGGCCACATGCCTTTAGGACCCACCTGGCAAAGCACCTTGCCCCCATGTTGATGAGGAGAAGGACCTCTTCCCCACAACCCTGGCCCGGTGGTTTGTGCGGGGTAGCTTATCACAATCTGGAAACCCCCTTTAACAAGGGGGCCTCATGTCCCGTTCCCATCTATAGACACTTGCCAAATGACAGCTGCCCCTCCCACTACATAAACATGCAGGGGCACCCGGTAACATCACCAGGTGACCTTGCCTCCACAACACCACTAAGAGACCCTGTCCATAATATCTTAGGGGAGGGGTCACCCAGTGACCTCACTAAATGCCCTCACACCCTATGGCTACACATGCCACTCTCGAGACAATGCACCCATGATGTCACTCAGAGACCCTCACCCTATGACGCAACAAACAGCACAAAACGCTCCATAAACATGCAACAAAATGTGCAAAAATTCTCAAAAATGTGTATGTTGCTTGTTTTAATGCATTTCTATGCAGAAAAAAAAACCTCTTAAACAAAATGCAACATCTGCCCAAATAGAGCTCCAAAAAGTAGCTCCAAAAGTTTTTTCTCCTTCAGGTGTTTGGCTTCAGGTGCCTTGGAGTGGAGATGTGAATCATCTCCATAGTGAATAATTGATTTTTTTTTTTTCTCCTTGAGCGGTTTGGAACTTTGAGCTACAAAACGTTCAAGTGTGAATGGGGCCATGGTGTGCCTTCAGTCACAGAACAATCTCCTTCAAGTAAAATGTTACAATTTACTTACATTTCCGAGCTCAGTGCAGAACATGCCCGAGCTCAGTGCAGAACATGCCTACACTGATACATTGTATACTTTTAACTTACTAACCAGTGTAGATTTCCCCTGTTATTTTGTACATTCCTAAAATACCACCTGCCTATACTGTGGGATAAACAACAAATGTTTTTTTTGTGAATTGACCTTAAAGGTTTATCTAATTTTTTGTGGTCTTTACATCCCATTTTTAACAAATTTGCGTCATTTACCCAAATCTGATATTTTACTTTGACGAATTGACTTATTTATTATTGCATGCAATATTTCAAATAATAATAATAATAATAATAAAAAAAACAAAAAAAAAAACACAACAACACGTCACAATTATCAGATACAATAGTGGTTTCATTTCACTTACAGTATTTTGCGCTCCATAAGACGCACTTTGTTCCCCTCAAAAAAGGGGGGAAAATGTCAGTGTGTCTTATGGAGCGAATATGGAGCGGCCGGTCCGGTATTTCCACCGCGGCCGTGTCAGAATACCAGGCCGGCCGCTCAACTCTGCAGCAGGACCTTACCTGTTCCTCGGTCCATCGCTGCACAGTCTTCCCGTGCTCCTTTAGTGTGGGCTCTCAGCTTGAGAGCCGGGTGCGAGTAGCGCTGCACTTTGTGAATGGTACAGCGTTTTCTGGGACACATGACAGGTCCCAGAAAACGTCAGACCAATCACAAAGAGCAGCGCTTCTCGTGCATGCGCAGTGGGCACCCGGCTGTCAGGAGGGTGCCCACACTAAAGGGAGGACAACTCCGCGGAAGTGGGAGCGGGTACCTGTCAAATTCAGTTACCCGCTCCCCCTCCCTCCCCAAAGGTCAGCAGTCATCTCCTGTACTGTCCGCAGTCTCTGGTCATCCCCTGCACTGTCCACAGTCTCTGGTCATCCCCTGTACTATGTCCGCAGTCTCTTGGTCATCCCCTGCACTGTCCGCAGTCTCTGGTCATCTCTTGTACTGTCCGCAGTCTCTGGTCATCTCTTGTACTGTCCGCAGTCTCTGGTCATCTCTTGTACTGTCCGCAGTCTCTGGTCATCCCCTTGTACTGTCCGCAGTCTCTGGTCATCCCCTGTACTGTCCGCAGTCTCTGGTCATCCCCTGTACTGTCCGCAGTCTCTTGGTCATCCCCTGTACTGTCCGCAGTCTCTGGTCATCCCCTGTACTATGTCCGCAGTGTCTAGTCATCCCCTGTACTATGTCCGCAGTGTCTTGGTCATCCCCTCTACTGTCCGCAGTGTCTTGGTCATCCCCTATACTGTCAGCAGTGTCTTGGTCATCCCCTATACTGTCCGCAGTGTCTTGGTCATCCCCTATACTGTCCGCAGTGTCTTGGTCATCCCCTATACTGTACGCAGTGTCTTGGTCATCCCCTATACTGTTCGCAGTGTCTTGGTCATCCCCTATACTGTCCGCAGTGTCTTGGTCATCCCCTATACTGTCCGCAGTCTCTGGTCATCCCCTATAATGTCCGCAGTCTCTGGTCATCCCCTATAATGTCCGCAGTCTCTGGGCATCCCTATAATGTGTACTGTACTGTCCGCAGTCTCTGGTCATCTCCTGTACTGTGTCCGCAGTCTCTGGTCATCTCCTGTACTGTGTCCGCAGTCTCTGGTCATCTCCTGTACTGTGTCCGCAGTCTCTGGTCATCTCCTGTACTGTCCGCAGTCTCTGGTCAGCTCCTGTACAGTTCGCTGTCTCTGGTAATCTCCTGTACTGTGTCCGCAGTCTATGGTCATCCCCTGTACTATGTCTGCAGTCTCTGGTCATCTCCTGTACTGTGTCTGCAGTCCATTGGTTCAGAATATTTTTTTTCTTGTTTTCTGCCTCTAAAACCTTGGTGCGTCTTATGGTCAGGTGCGTCTTATGGAGCGAAAAATACGGTACTTGTGAAACATTTAGTACTGCAAAAGCAACTATTAGGTCACATGCACACTGAATTCTCCATGACGCCTTTTCTACTACAGCGTTTTGGCATGAGCATTCACATGTCTGGCATTTTTTGCATTCTATTGGCCAGACGGTTACGTTATTCTGGCTATTAGAATGTATTAACGTGCGGACGTGCATTAACTTATCTAGTGTTAACTAGTTTTCTATGCGCGTTTAGGCACTTTTAAGTGTATTCAGTGCTCAAAAGCTCCTCTCCTAAATGTGACTTTGGTAAATGCCTATAGTGTGCATAGACATAGGCTAAAATGGAGGGGTGTTTAGAGGCAGAGAAAAAAAAATAACTCAAATACCTGTAAAAGCAGTGTTTTTTAGCTCAAGTGTGCATTCATTTCATTTATCACATGGTACACAGAAAATTAGTTCTCTTCAGATTCTTTTTATGCTAACACGTCACCTGGGTCCATTTATAATGACATCTGAATTTAAAGCAGATGGCATTTACTGATTTGTGTATACGGATTTCCTTAAATACCATGTTAATGTCTTTGCTTCCTCTGTCATGTTACCACCACTGGGCTTTTCTCATTGTGCATTGCCAGGGCTGCAAGGGGGTCCGACAGTAGCAGCTGCAGTCACTTTGTGATGCAGCCACTGGGACAGGAGTTTCAAGTTCTAGTATATCTAGCTGCCCTTCACACTGTGTGACCTATTGCTGGCCCCCTCATTCATTGTCTTTAACAGTGTGAAACAGGGGGGTGGGGGGGGGGGGGGGGGCAGCTGAGATCAGCCAACAGGGAGAATGACAAAAGGGAAAGTACATGGAGTCTGCCAACAGAGTATGGAGTCTGCCAACAGAGTCTGACCACAAGGAGACTACAGGCATGCCAAGTGTGCACAGCAGTGAAACAACAGATTTCCATTGGAAAGTAGTGGCTGAGCACCGTCAGGCTATTGTAGGAAGTGATACAGAAAAAGTAGACTGGCAGGATCTAACCAATTAAAAGGCCAAACAAGGAAGACAATAACAAATTAGGTTAGGCAGATGCAGGCATGACAACATTTTAGTGTCCGGGTTTTACAAATACTTTAATGGGCTCCCAACCTGAGCCTCTACAGTAACTTCTACAAAATACAGTTAGGCAATATGTAAACATAGGGCCCATTCACACTTTAGGGATCAGTAGCAGTGTGTTAATGTGTGTTGTGCTAAAAAGGAACCCAATTCTCATGGATGGGCTACAAATGTTCCACAGTGAATCAAAAATTGCACAACCCTTTTTTAGCAATGCAGTGCACCAAAATGCATGGTGTGTGCATTGGGGTGCACTGCAGTATGTTGTGAATTACACTTTCTTGTTCAAGTCATGTGATCAGCTCTCAACATATCCAAAGCCATTGTAGATGCTAACTCTATTTTGGTTGGGCCTCGCTGCACTCATTGCAGTTCATTGTACAATGTATTGGGGTGCCAGTCAGAATGAATGACACTGCAGTGCTCTACACATAGAGCAGGTGTATTACTGTGTGTTGTGGGAGCATGCACATTTTACTGCAACACACAAGTGTCTACGTGTCCTCACACTCAACCAGCGCATTCATTTTTGGGTGAATGGCAACATTTTTCTAGCAATCTTACTTTTGAGCTTTTATTATCAATTTAAAATTGGATTATGCCTACCTTGTTGGAGGGCTTGTAATTTCTTCTACTGTTTCCAAACCCTCTCCGTCTGCTACATATGCATCACCTATGGAAAACAAATTTACTATTACATAAGTAATCAGGCAGCAAACACCAGGAGCTTGCACAACAACACAGAAACAGCTAATGCATTTCAACCTGTTTGCATTTTGAGATAACATGGGGATGTCGATTTTCCAAAAGGGGTCATTTTGAGGGGGTTTTGGACTGTCCTGAATTGTTTAATTTTTTTTTCTTTTGTTTGGTCTTTCCACACACGTTACACTCTTGTGTCATGCAAATCCAACATTCCAGTGTTCTACTACTGTATAGTTTGTATGAATGTTCAAAAATATTAGTCACATCCCAACATCTAGCAGAAATATTACATAAAATCTGATTTGGTTGCTAACTGTAGAAAACTCACTTTTACCCTGGCAATGTATTTTTATAGAAACACTACATTTTTTCCATCCTTGTATTCTTATTTGATATCATTTATAACAGAAAGGGAAACTGGTTCATTTTTTTCCCTTCCATTCAGATGGGTGTTAACACTTGTTCTGCACGCAGGTCAGGTTTGTTATTGTGCCTGCATTTGCCCCAAGTTGTGTGCAGGCAGCCTATAGAGGTAGATGCAGATGCAGCAGCTGCAGGGACACAGGCATTTGTCAAATTTTGCAAATGTGTATGGAACAGAACACAGACAGTGTATTCATTAAATAGCTTGGCACACTAAATTTTAGTTAATTTCTTAATTTTTCAAGAAATTGTGATAAAAATATTACAAATTCAAAAAACTCACCATGCCTCTTTTCTAAACACCCTGGACTGTCTACTTTCCCAAAAAAGGGGTAATTTAGGAAGTATTTGTACTGTCCTGATATCTTAGAGCCTCAAGAAACAAGATTGGCCATCAGTACATTAGAATTGATCAATTTTCCTATATACAGTAAACAGTTGTGCTCAAAAGTTTTCATACCCTGGAAGAAATTGTGAAATGTTGGCATCCATATTGAAAATATGACTGATCATGCCAATACAACTGTCTTTTATTTAACGATAGTGATCATATGAAGCCATTTATTATCATACGTAGTTCTTTGGCTCCTTTTTAAATCATAATGATAACAGAAATCACCCAAATGGCCCTGATCAAGAGTTTCCACACCCTGGAATGTTTGGCCTTGGTATAGACACACACAAGGTGACACACACAGCTTAAATGGTAATTAAAGGTTAATTTCCCACCTATGAGGCTTTTTAAATTGCAATTAGTGTGTGTGTCTAAATAGTCAATGAGTTTGTTGGCTCTCACATGTACCTGACCTTGGCTTGGTATCAAGAGATCCCTGCATTTTTCACTTCTTAATAAGTGATTGAACAGTACTGACAGGCATATTCAAGGCCTTGTACGTCTTTTTATGATCTTTTCCATATTTATAAATTTCCATTTCCTTGTTACACAGGTCTTTTGACAGTTCTTTTCTGCTCCCCATGGCTCTGTATCTAGTTTTCTCAGTGTATCCATGTAAGAACTAACAAACTCATTGGTTTGGTGTAGTAAAAAAAAAAAAAAAAACACCAAAAACGCACCTCCTCACTGAAATCAATGTAAAATGTGAAAAAAAAACCCCACAAAAAATGCACTTGTGTTGTGTTTTTGAGTCACATATCCTGTAAAAAAACACACTTGCAAAGCCCAGGTTGGGTGGCAAGCAAGTCTCCTACCCCAAAATGCAGATCATGTACATGTATGTGATTAGGGGCAGCGGGCCGCTCTGCTGTAGTAAATTTGCGGTTGGGTGGTTCAGAAGTGGTTAAAGGATCATTTCTCCTCACTAGGTCAAAATGTTTAAAAATCATGCCCATGAGGGGCCCTGCCTGCCCCTGTCACTCACTCACAGTACTTAGCGGCTGTGGGCTTGTAGTTCTAAATGAACTGTAACGGTACTGTGGAGTGCCGTGGTAGTTCATTGAGTCTTCCTATCAGTATATCTGCTTGACTGTACATCCCATCCAGCAAGCAGATATTCTAACAGGTCTGCAGGAGACCTGCATGGCATCAGTGATCTACTGATTGCTTTCCAGGCCCCTGCAACAAAAAAATAATATATGCACATTTTTTTTACCTGCAAAAAAAATGTGGATTATTTTTTTTTTTTGCAAAAGGTGAACTTACCCTTTAACCACCTTCCGCCCACCATATAGTACAATGACGGGCGCAAGGTGGTTCTCTCGTTCTGATAGGACGTCATATGACGTCCTTCCATTCTCACTGCACATGCGCAGCGAGAGGGAGCACGCAGCGTGGCGATCGGCGGTGCAATGTGTCCCTCGGACACAGCGATTCATGGAAAGATCCGAAGATGTCGGTTCAATCATGTGATCAGCTGTGTCCAATCACAGCTGATCACATGTAAACACGGAAATGCCAGTTATCGGCATTTCCCTCCTCTCGAGCTGTCACACTGACAGCTCGAGAGGAGAGCCGGTAATCGGCTTTCCGCGGAGGGGACATGTACACTGATCATCAGGGCACTGATGATCAGTGTGCCCTGATGATCAGTGTGGCCCCAGAAGTGCCACCTGTCAGTGTCCATCAGTGCCAGCAGTCAGTGCTCATCAGTGCCACATGCCAGTGCCCATCAGTGCCACATCAATTCCACATATCAGTGCATACTAGTGCACATCAATGCCACATATCAGTGCCCATCTGAGCTGCCTTTCAATGTCACCCATCAGTGCTACCTATCAGTGCCAGTCAGTGTCGCGTATCAGTGCGCATCAGTGCCGCCTAACAGTGCCATATATCAGTGCTGCCTTTCAGTGCCCATCAGTGATGCCTGTCAATGCCCATCAGTGATGCCTGTCAATGCCTCCTCATCAGTGCCACCTATCAGTGTCCATCAGTGTAGCCTATCATTGCCCATCAGTGCAGCCTCATTAGCGCAAATCAGTGAAGGAGAAAAATCACTTATTTACAAAACTGTATAACAAAAACTAAGAAAAAACTTTTTTTTTTTTCAAAATTTTCAGTGGTTTTTGGTTTAAGAAAAATAAAAATCCCAGAGGTGATTAAATACCACCAAAAGAAAGCTCTGTCTCAAAAAAATGCTAAAAATTTCATATGCGCACAGTGTTGCATGACTGCGCAATTGTCATGCATAGTGTGACAGCTGAAAGCTTGAAATTGGCCTGGGCAGGAAGGGGGTATAAGTGCCCTGTAGACTAGTGGTTAAAGGAAGAACACTTTACTATCAAGTCCCTCTCTGCTCCTTGGATAGCATGTAACCTATAGGACCAATGGTGTCACTCTGAGCTGTGCCTATATACATTATCACTCTTGTCATTCTTCCCTCCATGACACAATGGGGTGCTCCTAGAATAATGACACCACACCTGGAACAAGAACAGAGAGCTGTGAAGGATGAGAGCCAGCGCCTGTCCACTATGTTCTCACTGATGGATCTACGTATAAACACACAGTGTATACAATCCAGGCACTCAAGACTGCCAGGTCTACACAGACACGCCCCCTTTGTAATATCAGTGTCCCTTTATTGGGGGCTCAGCATCCGCACCCAGCTGACCACACCCCTTCCCTGACGTCACTCACAGCTCTCCGCCGCTTCCTGCAGACTGAGAAGCTCGGAGTCACTGATGTCTGAGAAGCCGTCCTCCTCCTCTACCCTCGCCTGGCAGCCATGGTCTCCGGACACACATGTCTGCTTTCCATTTCTGGTGTCCCCTTCATGCGCTTCCCCGCTGCCCGACATAGCGCCTCTCCACAGCGGGCATAAGGCTTGTCAACACATGTCTGACATCACGTGGGAGGAATGTCATGTGATATAAACACAACATTCTTCCTGTAGTCCTATAGAACGTCAGCTGAACAGGTCACGTGTTCCATCCCTCCTCCCTCAGAGGGAACGCAGTCCCCCCCCCCCCCCCCCCCATTACTGAGACCCCTCCTCTGTTCCCTTCACCCGGCGTCTGAATGATTGTTCTTGTGTAGTATTCTTATTACATTGTTTTTGATATTTTTTTACAAAAGTAATGGTGAGGAAAGCATTTGTTGGTTTAACCCCTTCATGTCTGAAAGTCAAACAAATCTTAAATCTTGAGCCCCATCCAGATCCAGCCATGTGCAAGAGAGCTGGGGCTCTCTCCCTCCTCATTGGATGCCACTACTGTCAATCCCAGCCAATGAGGATAGGGTTGCCACCAATAAACCACCACGTATTAATTACACAGGTTCTGTGGCTGGTTAAGGTGGTAATTAAACTCACTTTGTGCCTTATCTGCATTAAATTAGCCCCAGAACCTGTGTAATTAATATGTGTTCGGGTTTAAAGGGATGAGGTGGCAACCCTAAGTGAGGAGGAGGCAGGGCTGAGCTGCAGTCTGTGTGCCTTATAGATATATGGGGCTGGCTCAGGAGTGAGCACGCACAAGTGTCCCCAGAGCAAGCACCTTGTTCTGGGGGCACTCAACAGGGAAGAGGGGCCAGAAGTACCCACAAGGGACCTCAGAAGAGGAGGATTGGGGCTGCTGTGTGCAAAACCACTGCACAGAACAGGTAAGTATAATATGTGGACAGTGTCAGTAGAGCAGTGCATGGTATCAGTAGGGCAGTGAACGGTGTGTAACCAGTGTCAGTCAGTAGAGCAGTGGACAGTGTCAGTAGGGCAGTGGATGGTGTCAGTAGGACAGTGAATGGTGTGTAAACAGTGTCAGTCAGTAGAGCAGTGGACAATGTCAGTAGGCAGTAAATGGTGTGTAGACAGTGTTAGTAGGGCAGTAAATGGTGTGTGGACAGTGTTAGTAGGGCAGTAAATGGTGTGTAGACAGTGTCAGTAGAGCTGTCAGTAGGACAGTGTCAGTCAGTAAAGCAGTGTCAGTAGTGCAGGAAATGGTGTGTGGTGTGGACAGTTTCAGTCAATAGAACAGTAGACAGTGTCAGTAGAACAGTGTATGGTGTCCGTAGAGCAGTAGATGGTGTCATTAGGACAGAGTCAGTAGAATGTTGGACAGTGTCAGAAGAGCAGTGGATGGTGTCAGTAGGACAGTGTCAGTAGAGCAGTGGATGGTGTCAGTAGGGCAGTAAATGGTGTGTAGACAGTATTAGTCAGTAGGGCAGTAAATGGTGTGTGGACCGTGTCAGTAGATCAATGGATGCTGTCATTAGGACAGTGTTAGTCAGTAAAGCAGTGGACAGTATCAGTAGGGCAGTGGCACAGTGTCAGCAAGGCAATGGATGGTGTCAGTTGGACAGTGGACACTGTCAGTCATTAGAGCAGTGGACAGTACTAGTAGAACAGTGAATGGTGTGTGGACAGTGTCAGTAGAGCAGTGGATGGTATCAGTCAGTAGAAGAGTGGACAGTATCAGTAGGGCAGTGGATGGTGTCAGTAGGACAGTGTTGGTCATTAGATCAGTGGACAGTACTAGTAGAACTGTGAATGGTGTGTGGAAGGTGTCAGTAGAGCAGTGGACGGTGTCAGTAGAGCAATGGATGGTTTCAGTAGGATAGTGAACTGTGTCAGTCATTAGAGCAGTGGACAGTGTTAGTAGTTCAGTGGACAGTGTGTGGATAGTGTCAGTAGAGCAGAGGACGATGTCAGTAGACCAGTGGACAGTGTCAGTAGAGCAGTGGACGGTGTCAGTAGGACAGTGAACAGTGTCAGTCATTAGAGCAGTGGACAGTGTGTGGATAGTGTCAGTAGAGCAGAGGACGATGTCAGTAGACCAGTGGACGATGTCAGTAGACCAGTGGACGATGTCAGTAGAGCAGTGGACAATGTCAGTAGACAGTGGACGGTGTCAGTAGACCAGTGGACGGTGTCAGTAGGACAGTGGACAGTGTCAGTCATTAGAGCAGTGGACAGTGTTAGTAGTTCAGTGGACAGTGTGTGGATAGTGTCAGTAGAGCAGAGGACGATGTCAGTAGACCAGTGGACAGTGTCAGTCATTAGAGCAGTGGACAGTGTTAGTAGTTCAGTGGATAGTGTGTGGCAGGGGCGGACTGACCATTTGGAAACTCGAGGGCCTGGGGTCAGTAGGGGGCCCCATGAGATGCCCCTGGTACCTTTTTCATAGGCTTTTTTGAGTTTGGGCAAGGACACGGGTGATGCCCTATTGCCCAGGGGCCCCATGAGTTGTCAGTCTACCCCTGGTGTGTGGATAGTGTCAGTAGAGCAGAGGACGATGTCAGTAGACCAGTGGACAGTGTCAGTAGCTTTTATTTTTATTATTTTTTACTATTTAAATTTTTAAATGTTTTTTACAGTGTTTTTTTTGTATTTTTTTTTACATTTATTTAGGAGCCCTGTTAGGGGCTGTAGTGAAAGAGGAGCCCCCCGTGGGAAGGGGGGTGGTTTAGCAGCAGAAAAAAGAGGAACAAGGACAGGTGGGAGACATTTACTAGAATTAGTCCCCTGGATTTTCCTCCTACAGCAGCTGAATGCCAATGAGAGGGAGGAAAGGAGAAGCTGGCTTTCAGCTGCTCCAGGAGAAAAATCCAGGTATTTTGAAAATCTAAATTCACAGCCTTATGCTGGCGCCCGCCCTGCCCATAGCAGTGTCCTCTGCCCCTTCTCTGCCCCCCCCCCCCCCCCCGAGCAGTGTCCTCTGCCCTTCTTCCTCTCCATAGCAGTGGCTTCTGCCCCACCCCTTTTGCCCACATTGCAGTGTCCTCTGCTCTCCCCTCCCCCCCCCCCATTGCAGTGTCCTCTGCTCTCCCCCCCCCACATTCCAGTCGCTCCTGCATGTATTTTACTTTGTTTTTTTTTATGCTTGTCTTTTTCATATGTCTTCAGATGGGTCACGGCACATTAGATCCTCTTCAGATCTTTTTTAGTGGTGGGAGGCAGGGGCGGACTGACCATTCAGGAGTTTGGGCACTGCCTGAGGGCCCGGGGTCAGTGGGGGGCCCCATAAGATGCCCCTGGTACCTTTCACAGGCTTTTTTGGGTGTGGTTTGAGTGCGGGTGAGGGCACAGGGGCCCCATGATCCCCTACTGCCCAGGGGCCCCATGAGTTGTCAGTCCACCCCTGTTGGGAGATCTTAAAAATAGGATTCCAGGATAAACCTAACCTAGTCTTAAAAATGCTCCCTCCTCCTAACACAAATGCTGACTAAAGTGCTGAGCAAACTGTTGGCGCTATATAAATCCTGTATAATAATAATAATTTAAATGTATATGCCTGTTTTCAGGCCACTCTGGTTCAGTCATGATTCAGCTCCCCTGTGTCAGCTAACACTGGCTGCAGGGGAGAAGACAGAGCATTGACAATGTTTGGCAATGTCTGGGGGCGATGACATCACCCATAGACTTCCTATGGCTCATCTCTTCTCTCTCCTGAAGCTGCCACTGTCTAAGGGAGCCAGATCATGTGACCGGACCAGAGTGGTCTGAAAATAGGTAAGCATGCACATCTTTCTTGAACAGGTTAGTCAACATAGGTATTAGGTGGAAGCATTTTTAAGATTAGTTAGGCTTATCCTGGAGTTCTATTTTAACCAATTTCCCGCCATCCCATAGCAGAAATACTGGTAAAGGGTGGCAGGGGTGCACAAAATCATGTATATATACGTGATTCTGCATTTCGGGTAGGGAGTGCGCGCGGCTCACGCACGTCCCTACCTGCGCCGCTATTCGCGGCCTTGGCTGTCAGTCACCGGGTCCCCGCCGGTGATTTCTAGCTGGCACCCGGTGGTTGCCGAGTATTGCTGACAGGGAGGGAAACCTGTTTGTAAACAATACAGTTTTCTCACCTGTCAGCCCCAGCACACTGCTCTGTATGGCTGCAGAGCCATACAAGGCAGTGTGGTTATAGTTGAAAGCACAGACACAGCTTACTGTGAAACAGCACACAGTTAACCCTTTGATCGCCCCAGATTTTAACCCCTTCCTGCTCAGTGCTATTAGTACAGTGTTAGTGCTTTTTATTAGCACTGATCACTGTATTGGTGTCACTGGGGATGTCAATGACACCAAATCAATGCCCCCCAGTGTCAGAATGCTGCCTCAGTCCCGCTATTAGTCGCTGATCACCGCCATTACTAGTAAAAAAAAAAATTAAACATTCCAGTATATATATACCGGCATTTGTAAATGCTATAACTTTCATGTAAACCTATTAATTTACATGTATTGGGATTTTTCTTTTAGCAAAGACCTGTAGCAGAATGCAAAATACAATTTGACCTAAATTTATGACGAAATTTGATTTTTTAAAATATTTTAGTAGACATTTTTAATATTTTCAAAAATATTGTTTTTTTTCTCAAAATTGTCAGGCTTTTTTTTTTTTTTGTCGCAAAAAATAAAAAACACACATGTGATCAAATACCACCGCAAGAAAGCGCTATTTGTGGGAAAAAAAGGACAGGACATACATTTAGCCTTGCATGACCGTGGAATTGTCAGTTTAAGTAACCCATCGCTGTAGCAAAAAAAAAATGGCCTGGTCAGGAAGTGGGGGTAAATCCTCTGGAGGGTATGTGGTTAATAATGCAGAAAAGCAGCACTGATGGGATGACACAGGGAATATAGGGTGCTGTTGTGATGCCCTGAACTCACAGAATGTCATTGATGGGCGTCATTCAACCAAGAAGACTGAGGGCATCTAGTGGAAGAAAGGAAGTACTGCTAGGGCCAGCATCGAGAGAAGATGAGTATTGCAGCTACACCTGTGTATTTTTTTTTTTTCAGCTCAAGAGGAACTTTTTTTGTTTTTGAGTTTGAAGACTTTTTAAAAGAATGGAGCATCC